CTCTCTCTCTCTCTCTCTCTTGGGCAATCATAGAAATTAGGACTCTTTTGTAAATCTTTCTCTTCTGGTAAAACCTAAAGGTTTCGAACGACAAGCACCTAAACCTCAGATCTTGCCCAGTCTATTATGAAGATACACGATAGTTCAAAGTCATGTTCAAGGATCTTGGAGAGGACGAAGACGACTATCAACCCACCTGTAGCCCCAAAGACCTAAACCCTAAACGGATACGGATCCTGAAGAAGACCACCAAAACTCAAAGAGGTGTCAGCTTGGTGTCCGTGCCCTTCCCCCAGCTTCTTCTTTTCAAGCTCGTAGAAATCGAGTATTTTCCCTGAAGTGCAGGGGAGGCTGCGATGTGCCTTGGGTTTGGGGTTCGCTTTTTGACGGGTATCTCACTTTGTGAGTCGGCCGGCACTGGCTCTCCGCTAAGGGTTCTGCAATACGACGGCAACACGCCCGGCAGTTTGCACGAAGGAATTGGCCGCCATTCTGTAGAATTCTCAAACTGACATTCCACGCCCGAGAGCATAAACGCATCAAAGTTCATTGCCTGTAATTTCGGCCCATTCGACCCCCTAAACCCTAAACCCTAAACCCTAAACCCTAAACCCTAAACCCTAAACCCAAAGCTCCAGCCACCGAAACCCAAAGTCTCCCTCGAATCGAACCAAAAGGCACTGCTACGTCCTTGGAATTCTTCAGCCGTAGACTGTTGGAGCGCCCGGCCAAAGCAACGAACGAGTGTAAAATCAGAAAGAAACTGATTTAACATCGCCGTCCCTGAACCCGAACTCCCTCTACATTCTGAATCTCTGAACGTCACGAGACCCAGTCACCGTAGCTGGAGCCCTGAACGCAGGAATCTAACTCCAACACCCTAGATTTCAATTCAACTTGAACCCAAAACCCTGCACACTAACTCTGGCCCCCCAAAAATAGACTCTGTGCCCGGAACCCTAGACCCTAAACCCAAAAAATGCCTGGATTGTCAATAATGAACTGCGCTCGCCCGGCAGCGTCTGGCTTCGCCTGTCTTATCCCGGCTCTAGTGGGGTTTAAGGCTTAGGGTCTACGGGAGTTAATGTAGGGGTCCGACAAGTTAGGATAGGGCATACTATAATTATAGTAGGGAACCCCCCCCAAAAAAAAATATTGGTAATTATTTAGGCGCCTACATTATGCTTCAGGAGATCTTAATCCAGGGCTTTAGGGGCTCGGCGCTTTCAAGGCTTATAGGGCTTCTGGTTGTCATTGGCTCTCATAAGGTTTTATTGCAGGGGGCGTAATTACTTGAATATTACGAGGATATGGCTGCCTTCCAGATAGACTAAATGCAGTAAAAATGATGCCGGGACATTACAACGAATTCCAATGAAATTACCTCTATCTCAAGTACGATGAAGCTTATCTTTTCGTTGAACAATCGACCCTGGCATCCCAGTTATCTCGAGAACAGGCTACGATGTTGTTCTGTAGAGCCAGGAAGCTATGGCGGTATCTGGGCTGCTAGTGAGGCAGCGGTTTTGCTGTTCACGGTTTTCGTTTCAGGGCTTCCCTCACCGGTCCTTACGACACAACGTTTTGCGATAAAGTTCGGGGCTTACTAAAAACACGACTTTGGGGTCATGTCTTTCAGGGCCTTGCAGTCTATCAGGTGTTTAGGGTTTGGCCCGGTTTGGCTTCTTACTGGTTTCAGACGTAAAGGCTGCCAGAGATCATGAGCCCTCTTGCTGGTTCAGTGTTCCACCGGCAGACTGTGGTCTTTCCTCCCCAGGTGACCTTTTGCGTGCCGCAACACAATGTCTGCGCGGCTATGACTAATTATTCCTAACAGTGTTTGTTTTGGAAATACTGTCCTTGCTGCAATCAATGCTCGTCGCCACCGTCTTGCAAGTTCACAAGCTATGGTTAGATGCTGCCAGCACAGCTGCATTGCTAGTGTCTTGTGCCAAAGCGAGGTTTGCTACAGTACCAGTCTGGCACTGGCTATGCTTGGACGACCATCAGCTGCTATCTGCCCAGTAAAGTTGTGCCATCGCAACAGAACGAGCTGAGGAACGTAATCGTGATAGCGACAGCAACGGCAGCACAAACCATAGATGCCACTACTAGTTCCCAAACGCTGGGTGCATCACAAACCCATACCGAAAGCAGTGAATCTCCATAACCAAAGGTCCACTTTTCGGGCATGTCGGGTTTCGGCTGTGGTGCTTCACCTGCACGTAGTCTAAGAGCGTACACTACTTACTGTCGAAAGATACACTAGAGAGCGACACAATCTTGCAACAACAGCTTGTGCGATAATATGACTGTAGAGTCCATGCATCAGAAACAGGGGACATGCAACGGCAAATTAGCTTGCTACACACTCGACGAAGACTATGTGAAAGTATGGGTTTATCGTATCGCATCCTTCACGAAAGCTGTCGAGCACAACCATGTAAAACAGGGTTGCAGCAATACAAACGGCGCATTGCATTCCACACCCCGAAACACAAGCAAGAAACACATCATCAGCAGCACCTGATTTCCAAATCCGTATCCCCACATCCCGCATCCCCACATCCCGCATCATCCTGCACGCCGAACCGAGTTTGGGGCTTCAAATCCATGAGCCCCTGAGCGAAATACCCCATGACACCCTTCACTTTGAACCCCTCGGTACGTCTGACAGTCCCGTGTATATTATCCCTATAAACCCTTGTGAACCCTGTAGAAAAAAGTAGAAACACCTTCACACAACCCAAAATCCTAAAACTACATACTATAAACGAACCCCAAAGGCCTATCAACCGCTTTTTAAACACCACACAGAAACAACATACACAGCCCTAAAATCCTATCAGCCCTTTTCAAACATCTATGTTCAATGAAGCAACCCTGAAGCCATGTAAGCCTCTGATAAGTGCCTTACTTCAGAACAAAACTCTACATAAACGACAATACATTGATGAAGCAGGCGAATGCACATGTATATACACATACATCCATACATACATACATACATACATACATCCATACATCCATACATCCGTACATGCATACATGCATACATGCATGCATACATGCATACATGCACACATGCGTACCTACCTACCTACCTACCTACCTACCTACCTACCTACCTACCTACCTACCCACCCACCCACCCACCCACCGAC